AAGTCCCAGGCCTTGGAAGAGCTCAAAAGGGATTTTGAGAAGCAAGTAAGAGAAGTAGAGGAAAAACGGGAAGAGAAATGAGAGTGATGCAAGAAAATCATGAAAAACTAGTCAACAGCTTGCTAAAAGAGTCCCAAAAAAATACTGAAGAAAATAACACCTTAAAAAATAATCTAACCCAAATGGCAAAAGAGGTCCAAAAAGCCAGTGAGGAGAAGAATGCCCTAAAAAGCAAAATGGCCAAATGAAAAAGGAAGTCCAAAAGATTACTAAAGAAAATACTTCCTTAAAACTTAGAATAGAGCAATTGGAAGCTAGTGACTTTATGATAAATCAAGACACTGTAAAAACAAATCCAAAAGAATGAAAAATTAGAAAACATTGTGAAATATCTCATTGGAAAAACATCTAACCTGAAAAATAGATCCAGGAGAGAGAATTTTAAAATTATTGGACTATCTGAAAGCCATGATCAGAAAAAGAGCCTCGACATCATCTTTCAAGAAATGATCAAGGAAAACTGCCCTGATATTTTAGAACCAGAGGGCAAAATAGAAATTGAAAAAATCCACCAATCTTCTTCTGAAAGAGATCCCCAAAGGAAAACTCCTAGGAATATTGTAGCCAAATTCCAGAGTTCCCAGGTCAAGGAGAAAATATTACAAGCAGCCAGAAAGAAACAGTTCACGTATTGTGGAAACACCATCAGGATAACACAAGATTTAGCAGCTTCTACATTAAGGGACCACAGGGATTGGAATGTAATATTCTGGAGGGCAAAGGAGATAGGATTACAACTAAGAATCACCTACCCAGCAAAACTGAGTATAATACTTCAGGGGGAAAAATGGTCATTCAGTGAAATAGGGGACTTTCAAGCATTCTTGATGAAAAGACCAGAGCCGAATAGAAAATTTGACTTTCAAATACAAGACTCAAGTGGAACATGAAGAGGTAAACAGGAAAGAGAAATCATAAGAGACTTATTAAGGTTGAACTGTTTATATTCCTTCATGGAAAGATGATATTTGTAACTCATGAGACCTTTGTCAATATTAGGGTAGTTAGAGGGAAAAAATTATATGTATGTAGATAGATAGATAGATAGAGGGCACAGGGTGAGTTGAAGATGAAGGGGTTATATCTGGAGAATAAAATTAAGGGGTGAGAGAGGATTATGCTAGGAGAAGGAGAAAGGGAGAGGTAGAATCGGGCAAATTATCTCACAAAAAAAAAAAAAAAACCAGAAAAGAAAAGGCTCTTACAGTGGAGGGGAAATGGGGGAAGGTGAGAGGGAATGAGTGAATTTTATTCTCATAGGATTTCACTTAAGAAGGGAATAACATACACACTCAATTGGGTATGGAAATCCATCTTACCCTACAGGAAAATAGAAGGTGAAGGGGACAAGAGAGTAGGGGGATGATAGAGAGGAAGGCAGATTGGGAAAGGGGATAATCAGAAGCAAATACTTCTGAGGAGGGACAGGGTCAAAAGAAAGCATAGAATAAATGGGGGAGCAGGATAGGATTAAGGGAAATAGAGTTAGTTTTTCACAGCATGTCTACTATGGAAGTGTTTTGCATAACTGCACATTTATAACCTATGTTGAGTTGCTTGCCTTTTCAATGAGGGTGGGTGGGGAGGGAGGAAGGGAGAAAATTTGGAACCCAAAGTTTTAAAAACACATGTTTAAAAAAAAACGTTTTCACATGCAATTGGGAAATAAGAAATACAGGAAATGGGGTACAGAAATCTATCCTGCCCTACAGGAAAATAGCAGGGGGAGGGGATAAGAGAAGGGGTGGAGAGATAGAAGGGAAGGCAAACTAGGGGAAGTGGTATTCAGAATGCATGCCATCTTGGGGTGGGGGGAGGGGCAAGATGGGGTGAAAATTTGGAACTCAAAATCTTGTGGACGTAAATGTTGAGAACTAAAAATAAGTAAATTTATTAATAAAAAAAAATTGCCAACAGATATGAAAAGGGAAACCATTGACAATATTTTAAATTGTAGAGCACTACCCAACAACTCTTTATCAATCCGTATCTGTCTGATTTTCACAGAGATTAGATTGAAAATTTTAAGAATTGTAGAAATGGACCAGCATTTAAAAATATTTTATCAGATTTTATTAAGAGAGTACAGAAGGACCATAAATGAAATGCTTTTTGGACAAATTTTAAACCAAAAATATTAACTCTTGTGGAAGAGCCAGCCTGGTTACAAAGACTATGTAGGACTACTCACCCTCATGCTTTTAGATAAATAACCCATGAAGCCTCACCAGCATGTCAAATATGAAGAACAATTTTATATGAATATTTTTAAAAAGTATTTGTACCTAGTGCTACTTTGTTCACATTTTTACATGATTTAATACTAAGTCAGGATATTCCTGCTGATACAGAAGATCCATTCTTGGACCTGTTTACTCCTATTGAATTATGAGACTGCTTGAAAAGCTGCAGTAACACAGGCTCTGGACCAGATGACATTAGATATTGGATTTGGAAGAAGGTCAACCCTGATAGACATATGTTAGCAATCATTTTTAACATGATACAGAATTATAATTATGTCCTGAAGGAGTGGCAGCTGTCTAATAACATTTTAATTCACAAGAAAGTCAATAAGAACCGTACAACTAGAGGCCCAGCCTTGGGTAATTCCATGACTAAGATTTGTGCCTCTGTCCTATCAAAAAGACTTCATAAATGGAGCTCCAGGAATGGATTTATCAGCAGAGCCAGAAGGGCTTC